CACCCACTCCACATTCTCTTTCCCCACCCCCCACTGCCCAAAAGAGTAAGACTTTATTTTTAGTTACTCTGCAGCTGCCTCTATATATACTACTAAAACCTCAACCAGGGAGAAGAAAAACTGTAAAATAAAATTAGAAGGCTTGGTTTGAATTGGGGAAAAGAACAAATGTTATACTTAGAAAACTAAAATCCCTCTCTAGATCAAGCCATGTGTATCTGAGCATCAATCCATTGTAAATTGATAGGAGTTATAGTTAACAATGTCTTGTCATTTTTGTAGGATCACATGGTCCATTGTTACCTTTACCCAGCCGGTACAGAATGGGATCTCGAGATACACCAGAGCTTGTTGCTTACCCACTGCCTCAGGCTTCTTCATCTTACATGCATGGTGGCAATCCTTCTGGCTCTGTTGTCATGGTCAGTGGGCTACATCAGTTAAAGATGAACTGTTCAAGGGTCTTCAACCTGTTCTGTTTGTATGGAAATATTGAAAAGGTAAGGCATGTGTTATTAGCAGCTTCACTTATGTATGAGATTCATGTGCTGCCCTTCCTGAGAGTGGCTCAGAGCAGCTTACAGTAAAGACAAAATAACTTACAAAAGCAGAATAAAATCAAGTAAGTAAAACAGACTACCTCCCAGAATTTCAAAAGGAATCCACCCTACCTGCTCCCTTGCTTCTCACCTAGGAGATTGTGTGCCTGCCTGTCCCACCAACGCAGCCTTGTTTCCCAACCTCTGTTTGCTCTCTCCATAAAAGAAAACATTTTTCTTCCCATATTCCCTCCTATTCCCTTGCCTTACCAGGGGAACTCCATCCTTTTTTCCCCATGTCCCTCCAAGTCTGTGCTTAAATTTAGTCTGTCTAATTTAAAGTGTAGTGGGTGCAAACAGCTTATGTTCTAAATAGTTATTGATACTGATAGTGGTTGAAGTTGGCAAAGAGTATATTTTTCTTATAATTTGCAGAATTCTTACAATAATGGTATCCTTTGAGCTGCATTGTCATTTACTCTTGAACTCTTTCAGGTGAAATTTATGAAGACTATTCCTGGTACAGCATTGGTAGAAATGGGTGATGAATATGCTGTAGAAAGAGCTGTCACACATCTTAATAACGTTAAGTTATTTGGCAAGAGGCTTAATGTCTGGTAAATATACTATTTATCACATTAAAGGTTCATGTTTGGGGTGGATGTAATTTAACTGCACATGATTCAGCTGTTTAACAACTTTATAAAGAATTTTCAGATTCTTTAGCACAGTGATGCTTAACCTCCAGCTCACTTGGAGAGCTGTGGCTATTAACACTGCCACCACTCTCCTGCTGCCAAATTTCTGAACCCATAGGGAGTTCTGCAGGTTGGTTGATGTAGCCCTACATGTGGGGTCTGGCATGCAGGGCTGTACCTGTAAACTGACCCCACGTGCCAGACCCATGCATTGGACCCAGCCCACGGACTGGTCCTGTGCCACTTACCTAGCCTAGGAGGCTAAATTAGTTGAGCACTGCTGTTTTAAATACTAGCTAACAAAACTGCAGAATATGACATCAATAAAAGTGGTTGAATGTTAAATGTAAGGATCTTATGCTAATCAGCTGTACATGCAAATATAGTTGTTGTTTTTTTAACAGCAGAAATCTGTATGAACAATGATATGCAGAAACTTAGCTAATGAAAATATATCCATTAACATGTTTAGCTGTCTTTCTCCCACAGTTAAACATGGGAACCAAGGTCTAATTCAACTTAACTCCTCTTTTCAGAAGTGAATACCATTTCTTTTGTCCTTGTCTGTGTAGTTTGTGTGCAAAATGTACAATTAAATGTTTCATTTAGAATGCAGTCTTTCTTAACTTTGTATCTTTAAATCCCAGTGTGTCCAAGCAGCACTCAGTAGTTCCCAGTCAAATATTTGAGTTGGAGGATGGTACAAGTAGTTACAAGGATTTTGCCATGAGTAAGAATAATCGCTTCACCAGTGCAGGCCAAGCATCCAAGAACATAATTCAGCCCCCCTCTTGTGTGCTGCATTACTATAATGTCCCACTGTGTGTGACTGAAGAAACCTTCGTCAAGGTAGGAATCATGCTGCTGTAACTCATTTAAATTGGGGTACTGTAGTCTTGCCTTGTAGTTTAAATAAGAAATAACTGGAGAAAGTATGCAGTAATTTGGCCACTATTGATGCTTGAAACGGGCAATTACATGCTGTACAAAAAGAGGCCACTTTATTTTTGCATAGTCTGGCATTGCTCCCTTTGCAGGAAAACTGTCTAGGCGAGCTGTGAAAAGATCTTTATGTACTTGTTTTCCTAAACATAGATGTATTCACAGTCAAAAAAAGAGAGCGCAAGAGGCCATGCAGTCAGTGTGGTTTGTGTAGTCCTCTATGGGTGAAATGAGATGAATAAAAGCATGACTAACTACAGTTTGCAAAAATGGTAGAGAATTTAATATGAGATTTTTCTCATTTTCTCTCATGGTTGCTTAAATAGGTTCCTTGAGTCTTCTCAAAGCTTACAGTCCTTCACAAGAATAATATGCATCTCCAGTCTTTGTAATCCTGGTCTGTGGTGTTTGCATTGTAGCATTCTCCACAAGTTAGTGAAATTGTATGACACCTATAATGTAAATATTATATTTAGTTATATATTATTGGTGGCTTATTTTAAATTGTATTGTACCTCTTAAGATCATTAAAATTCTAGTGCAGCTCAGAGGCTTCCCACCAGGATTAGGCCCCTCTTGTGCTAAATACAGTGGAAGAGAAATTCAATCTCTGTCTCACAGCGTTTCTAACAGAAGGCTGCTATAGTTTTTTCCACAACAGTTTTTCGCATATTACTGGAAACTGGGAGACTGAACACATTTTGTTTTGCAAGCCTGCTCCTCAGGCAATTTACTAATACCCTTTAAAGTTAGCAAGTGATTATTATCTTTCAAGAAGAAGAGATCTTTATTTTTCTCTAGCGTGAAGTTCCTTTAAACTAAGGCAGAGAATACAAACTAAAAATCTTTTTCCTGCTGTCATAAGAGGGTTTTTTTTTATTAATTAGTGTCGTCTTTTTAATGTTTGGGAATAGGGATTTAAATGTTTAGCTTAATCATGTTTTCACTTTTTGTATTTTTGTGGCAGCTATGTGAGGATCATGAAGTTCTCAGTTTTATCAAATACAAAGTATTTGATCCAAAACGTAAGTAAATATTTATTGGGTTTTTTAAAGATTGGGTTTTTTTTTTTTTTAAACAAACTGTTCTCTGAGGGAAATATACCAATTCATTTGTTTCAACAGCTTCTGCCAAGACACTCTCTGGTCTGTTGGAATGGGAATGCAAGACAGATGCAGTGGAAGCCCTCACTGTACTTAATCACTACCAGATAAGAGTCCCAAGTAAGTCATTTAAATTAAGACTTTAACCATTTGTAAAACAGTAATTTTTCCCCTTCGTGTTGAGTCTTGGATATAAAATGTTGGACACATGTAATTTTGTGGATCTGCAGCTAAAAATAAGTGACTTTCTTTTGCATGGCTTTTTTCTTAATACATTCCAGTAATCCCAGTGAGAAGATTTAAGGTTTCCTAATGCACATTCTGTTTGAAGAAAGGTTTCTCAATGATAGGTACTTAAAGTTCCATCAGTGGAAGTAAGGCAGAAAAAAATGGGATCCTTCTAGGATCCAAGTACAAAAGTCATGACAGCCACATAGGGATGAGAAACTCTGAAAGAGTTGGGCCACTGCTCAGATTCCTTGGGTTTGGATAGAGCTTTATTTGAACTGCTTCAGTTCCAAGTACTTTTATTTCCATGCAGATATGAGTATCCCCCTACCCTGGAGTGGCTATGACAGCATGTGCTTTCAAGTGGTGCTTTCAAGCAAGGGGCTGGAAAGCAAGAATCCTTACATGCCTCTTGGCCTCCAGTTTCCTAAGGACAGCTGAGTGCATAGGAAAGAATACTTGTTGGCTGTCTGCCCTGCCCCGCTTCCCACCTGTATATGGGGGAGGGAGTGCTGTGGAATGCTGGAGGACCAAACAACCTGTCATTGTGCTCTGCTGGAGTGTGCAGATATTTCAGGAAGCGCTTCAAAATGAAGTGGTTCAAAGAGGTTCCTTTTTTTCCCCCGAGGGTCATATTTGAAATGCTTCATCAGGCACAAATGCCTCCACCTTTGCTGTTTTGTCGTGCTTCAAGGCCCTTGGAGCATGTCAGACAGAAAAGCTGTCTGGCATGCATCACAGAACTATGGATGTGCTGTCAAACAGGACTAAAGGAAATTTGTTATAAAATGGGATTTAAAGTATGTTGACATACAAGCTCTCTTCAACCCTCAAAGGAGGTAAATAAAATCCATCTGTATTCTCAAATATTTCTGGAACTTGTATATTGCCAGATTGAATGACTTTAAATGTTTACAGGTTGAAAAACTTCAGTACAAACCATTTCTGCCAAGTGTCTGTCTAATCTGCACTTAATTCTAAGGATGGAACAAGAGAGGTAGTAGAATCTCCAGTGTTTAATCACCTTTTATTGTTAGAAAGCTCATCCTAGTCTCCAACCTAAACTTCCCTTGCTGCAGTTTAAAGACATTGCTCCTTGTCCTGTCTACTGCAACCACAGAGAATAGTCTATCACAGGGGTGGGCAATTATTTTGGGCAGAGGGCTACTTAGAGAGTTTTGGCAAGCTGTTGAGGGCTGCCTGGGTAGCCCCACCCTGTGACAGATGCCCTGCCCCTGGTCACCATCTTGTGCCCAGAAGTCCCGCCCCCTAACCCCTGACTTTTGCCACTAGAATTCCCTCCCCTTGCCTTTGGAAGTACTCCTTTCAGCAAGGGGTTTTGCCAGCCAGGAACCAGAAAAATACCAAGTTATATTTAAAAAAGCAAAGATCTACAACATTGATTAAAAATATATATTTTTGTCCTGGTTTACATGTCTTTGTGTAGTATGCGTAGAGGTGATTGTATATAATAGCTTAAAATGAAGTCTCACTCTTGTATATTGTTGGGGGGGGGACTTGGGTAGTAGGCATAGGTTTGTGGGGGGCTGTGGGGTGTGGCAGAGGGTGAGGGTGTGGATAGGTATGGGGGGTGTGGGGTGATGGAGCATGTGGGTGTGTGTGGATATGTGGTGTGTGGGTGAGTATGGGGTTTGTGGGGGCTGTGTGGTGGGGAGTGTGGCTGGCATGTGTGAGGGTTTGTGGGTATGGGGTCTGCATGCATGGCAGTGTGAGGGGGAGGTGTGGGTGCATATGTATGGTGGGGGGTGCATCTAGGAATTGCCCTATGAAAACACACAGACACACATACTCTCCCATTCCTGGCTCCAGGGTGGCCCTGTGCTCCCTGCTCCAGCAATGTAGCCAGGAGCCACATGGTGCTGGAGCAGTGTTGGGGGGCAGGAAGGTAGGGAAATGGCTGGG